CCCAAATCATTAGAAGTTAGTATTCTTCGTTTGAGTGGTGCTTCGTGTGCTCGAGTGTGGGTCTTCTGTTTGCAAAACTTCTCGAAGTTTGTATTCTTTGGTCGAGCGACAAACTTCTCCGTTCAAGTGGTCACATCTTTTGTGTCAGATGCTCGAGCAACACGTCTTGCACTCGAGCGACCTGCACATATATTAGTTCATAAAGTCACTTTTCTGAGTCACCTTTTCACTTCTCTTTCTCTAAATATTTCAAAACCCTATTTTCTCTAACACACTCTCTAAAACTCATCCATTTCACTCAAATACACCTAAATCCGTCGACCTTTTTACCCGTGTCTCTTTGTTAAAAAGGTAGAGCTCAATGAGGGCTTCGTTCTAATCGGAACAAAGTTGATTTCTGACATCTTGGAGTTTTCTTCACACACACACACACACACTCTCTCTCTCTCTCTCTCTATATATATATATATATATTTATAAATCAAAACAAACAAATACACAAATAAGCAATATATGAAACAAAACAATAATATGTGAGTTTCTTTACTTGGTTTGCGCAAGTTCAGGTGAGGAAATAGTTCTCCAAATATTGATCTTTGTTGATTTTGTTGTGATACTCAAATTATATACAATAAATTCATTTGTTCCATACATTGTATAGCATAAATGATGTTTATTTTGTTCAATCCCATAAACGATATTTACTTTCTGAAAAATATTTTTGAATAATTAAAGTTAAATACCCAACGAAGTGGGTTTAATTGAGAGAGAAGTTAGAGAGAGAAAATGAAATATTCGATTGGAGTTTGCTGGTGGTGCCTAGAATTTGAAAAGCAGTATTGCTTGTATGGATTCAAGATGGTTAATTTGAAAACTTTTCACTAATAGTAAAATTGGGTGTGGTTTCTGTTGAATAATCTTCACTGTATTTAAATTAATTAATTCTGTTGTGTACTAAACAATAACAAGAATATAAAGAAATAAAGAAAATGAGAGAATTTGTTTGATTACAAAAATCAAACTAAAAATAAATAAATAAAAATATATTTTATTTTGTTACAAAAACAAAATTAAAATCTGATTTAATAAACAAATAAAACAGAATGGTAAATTAAACAACTTACTTGGTTAATTTCTTCTAATAAATATCTGATCAAGTCCAGTGTTTGACACTGTGTCCTTAAGACAGATTAGTCCTCTCCCCGGTGCTTTCAGAATATGGACGTCTATCTCCCAAGATGAAATGATCAACTACAACAATAGCAGCACTACAAATTATTTGCCTAACGAACACACTAAGTGTTTATACTCTTTCTCACAAAAATTAAATGTAGCAAAATGAAGAATAAATTTGCAGAGGTGAAGTACGAAATTTCTGAATGTATCTAACATCAAATGAGGGTTGTCCTATTTATAGATGTATTGGTGGCTGCAGGTTTTGAATTAAACAGGTGCAAACCTGTTTGAATAGGTATGAAACCTGTTTGGTTTTGAATTTAAACAGATTTGAATCTGTTGGGTTCACAATTCAAACAGATAAAAACGAGAAGGGCCTTGTTTGGGTGTACAGTAAAACCAGACCAGTTTATTTTCAGAATTAATTTGAATTTTGGATTTTATTTTACCAAAAAATAAAATTAAATTCAAATATTTTTGGCCCAAAAAGATAAGTATTGGGCCGGACAAGCCCAACCCAACCTCACATCATCCGGTCGGTCAGGCGGGCTGGCGCGCGCGTGGTGATTTTTGGGTCCAATGGGTCTAGCCCATTTTGCCCATAACCTCCCTCTCTAAAACACTTGGGTACCCATTGGGGCACACCGCAAGTTCCAATCCCATGCCTTATAAACCCATTCAAAACTTCCCACAAAATCAATGTGGGACAAGCCTTATTCAAACCTTTAAGGATTTTACACAAAAACTCCATTTCCATGGAACATACTTTGGCTTCAATTTTTCATTCACTCGGTAATGGTTTTGAGCAACCAAATATACCACGTGAATCACAACGCGGTATAGAACGCGTTACCACTTTGACCCGCGACAAACGACGCATGGGGCCAACCTAAAAAATAGACCAAACTTAGGAAAAAATTCTGTTATTAACCCAGAATTTCTAAACCATTTTCCAACAGTTTCTTCTAGATTTAGAAGAAGAAGAAGAATGAAAGAATGAAAGAATGAAAGAAAGAAATGAGGGAAGGGGTGGTGCAGTTGAAAGAAGGGTCACCGTAGGGGGAGAGAAATTGGGGGAGGATTGTCGGAGGCCTCGCCAAAGCTGGTGGAGAGGTGGCCGGCAATGGAGGGGCGTGAAGAACAGATTGTCTTCGTTTTTTCTTCTTTTTTTTTTGTGAGAGAAGAACAGTTGTTTAGTGGTGGGACCCACTCCTCTTAGGTGGCAGTCCAACTAGATGTTTCGTTATTCATTCGGTCATTTGCTTAGGGCTTGCAGCATTACTCATAAAATATAATTTGTTCAGGATTTGAGGATCATTTCGGGATAGTACCTGGCACAAATAAAAGACAGAGTTCGTGTTCAGCAAAAAGAGGATCGATTGCACTCCCTCTATGATTAGGGCTTGCAGCATTACTCATAATATATAATTTGTCCAGGATTTGAGGATCATTTCGGGACAGTACCTGGCACAAATAAAAGACAGAGTTCGTGTTCAGCAAAAAGAGGATGATTGCACTCCCTCTATGAGAGGATAATATGAATAGTTTATTTTTTAAAATATATTGAGTATAATATATTTATAAAAAATTAAATTAATCGAACATTAATAAATTTTTCATTGCATTGTATTTATATTTAATTTTATATTTCAAATTACAATTATTAAATATTGTTTTAGTTATAAATGTAATTCGATGAAAGGATTATTAGTCTCCGAATAACTTGATTTGTCCTTAAACTCTTACAAAAGCTTGTAAATGGATGTCTCCCTAATTTCTTGTATTTAAAGCATAAAAAAAAAAATGACTAACTTATGAAAAAAATCAAAAAAGACAAGAAAACATAAAAAATAAAAACTCGAACTATTTTTTAAAATTTATAATCAAACACGATAGATGTTGTTTATTGCAATATTTTTCATCTAAAATTTGTAAAATTTAAATTTGCGAAGTGACCTTATTTAGGAAAATTAATCCATAAATCCCATATGAGAAAATATTGATCTATTTAACCCTAAGAGTTTTCTTATGAACCAATTAATTCTTTTTGTTTTGAAAAGTTGTATTTATTTGATTTGATACCATTTGAATTTATGTGAATGTTTTTTGTGCTTCATTTTTTCAATTTTCTGATTCGTTTTTAGGATGAGAATGGCAAGGTGAGACGTGAAATATTCTTTTTAGAGGGATTAGTAGCTGAAGTGTTAGTTGTTGAGCATGAAAATCTACATTTCTGTTAGTGTAGTTTTTTGATGTTACATTGAAGTGTTACATTAGAGTGTTACGTTTGGAAAGAGTACACTAAAGAGTTTGTATGTTATATTGATTGGAGTGTTACATTTGGGAAAAATACTAAAGAATTTTTTTGGAATGTTACAATGTTACGTTTGAGAAAAATACACTACGAAATTTTTTAGTGTGTTACATTAGAGTGTTACGTTTGGAAAAAGTACATTAAAGAGTTTTTGTGTGTTACATTGATTGGATTGTTACATTTAGGAAAAATATACTAAGGATTTTTTTTGGAATGTTCCGTTGTCACATTTGAGAAAAATACACTAAGCAGATTTTTAGTGTGTTACATTTAAGAAAAGGACACTAAGAAATTTTTGTATGTTAAATTGATTAGAGTGTTACATTTGGGAAAAAAAAAATACACTAATGAGTTTTTTTGAATGTTACTTTGTTACGTATTAAAAAAATACATTAAGGAGTTTTTTAATGTATTACATTGGAGTATTACATTTTTGGAGTGTTACGTTTAGAGAAAATACACTAATAAATTATTTTAAAGTGTTACATTTAGTATATCAACATTATAAAATCCATATTTGTCCCTTAACACATAACACATGCATGTTTACACTTGACTCTTTATATAATTCATACTAAAATGAGACTTTTAGCTCAAAAAAAAAATGATTTATTGATACTTTACCATTTTAGAGCTCCAAAATTAAAACTCTCTATCATTACCATAAAAAAAGATCCCAACAATGTGTTGAGTAACTGGACGAAAGAACTTTTGTGGCTGAGCGGGGGTCTTATGCAGCCGACGTAGGCAAAGAGTCACAAGCTTACACCTTTGCAACATGGGTCTCGAGGGCACCATATCTCCTAATGTTGGTAATCTTTCTTTCCTCAAACTCCTCGATCTTGGGAACAATAGCTTCTATGGTCATCTGACAGATGAAATAGGCCATTTGCGTAGCCTAAAAACCCTTTATTTAGTTCTTAATATGTTAGAAGGAAACATCTCATTGGGTTTACACCACTGTCAAAGGCCTGAAGTGATATCTCTTGCAGGTAATAAATTTAGTGGTAGAATTCTGAAAGAGTTGAGCACCTTACCCTCTCTAAGTTTCCTTGCTCTCGGACAAAATGAATTTATAGATACTATTCCACATTCCTTTGGCAACATTTCAAGCTTAGAAGTGTTTGGGCTAGATGTGAATCACATTTATGGAAATGTTCCAACTGAATTCGCACAACTTCCAAATTTGAAGTTAATTGACCTTGTATTGAATTATCTCACAGGTCCAATACCTCCTGCAATTTTTAACAAGTCTTCAATAGTTGAAATTGATTTGAATTAGAGTTCCTTTTCTGGAAACCTTCCAACAAATAATGGCATTTTCCTTCCTAATCTTGAATTCTTCTTTTTGGATCACAATCAACTAACTAGAAACATCCCTTCTTCTCTCTCCAATTCTTTTAAGCTCACTGCTAATTCTAGCTGCCAACTTGTTTACTGGACCAATACCAAAACATTTAGGCAATCTAAAACACCTAGAACTTGTATTTATCTCAAAATCAACTGACAAATGAACCAGGAAGTATTGAACTTAGTTTTCTCACAGATTTTGACAAATTGCACTTCCTTGGTGGAGTTGATGTTGGAACGAAATAAATTGAGTGGCACCTTACCCAATTCTATTGGAAATCTTTCAAACTCTTTGAAAAAACTTGCTGTATCTGAAAGTCTCTCCAATTCTTTTAAGCTCACTGCTAATTCTAGCTGCCAACTTGTTTACTGGACCAATACCAAAACATTTAGGCAATCTAAAACACCTAGAACTTGTATTTATCTCAAAATCAACTGACAAATGAACCAGGAAGTATTGAACTTAGTTTTCTCACAGATTTGACAAATTGCACTTCCTTGGTGGAGTTGATGTTGGAACGAAATAAATTGAGTGGCACCTTACCCAATTCTATTGGAAATCTTTCAAACTCTTTGAAAAACCTTGCTGTATCTGAAAGCCAACTAATTGGTACAATTCCTAAAGAGATTGGTTCTTTGAGGAATTTGACTTCACTTGCATTGGCTAACAATAATCTGAATGGAAACATGCCCTCAACTCTTGGTGAAATTAAAAGCATGCAAAGGTTGTATCTTGGTGGTGACAACTTTCATGGATCAATTCAAAATGAGATTTGCCTTTTGAGCAACTTAGGGGAACTTTATGCAGAGCTAAGCAAGTTATCTGGATCGATCCCAAGTTGCATTGAAAATCTTAGAAGTTTGCAGGTGATGGATCTTACTCATAATAAATTGACCTTCATACCGTCGAGTTATGGAACCTTGAAAATTTATGGTTCTTGAATCCTTCATTCAATTCATTAGGTGGAAGCCTAGATCCAAACATAAGGCCATCGTAAGTGTTGGAAATTGTGGATTTATCTTGGAATCAAATCGCAGGAAGCATTCCAAGAGTTATTGGGTCTTTCCAAAGCCTAAATACTTTAGACCTGTCTAGGAATTCATTCTAAGGACCCATTCCTAACACAGTGGGCAATTTGATAACATTGGATTTCTTGGATCTTTCACACAACAATCTATCTGGACAGATACCTAAGTCTCTTGAGGAACTTTCACATATCCAATACATGAATTTCTCTTGCAATAAGTTGGCTGGAGAGATTTCAAATGAAGTGCAGTTCAAGAACCTCACACCATGGTCTTTCATGGAGAATGAGGCACTTTGTGTTGGGAAAATGATTTAATGTAGGCATATTTTTTAACTCAATTTGAGTGGGCCCCAAACGTCTTTTGGGTTGGGTCCGAAAAGGTGACGTGTTCCTTTCTGCGTGGCAAGTCACACGGTGAAGACGGAACGTCAAAACCATTTATGAGTGAATGGGAAGTTGACGTCGTTTTCGGGTTTAACATTAATTTTTATTTAGATAAAATTCATTTGAATTTTTTCAATAAAAAATTATTGTGGGAATTTAATTTAATTCTAATTCTAATTTTGGGTTCCTAAGTGGTTTCCTAAAGTTTGTAATTGTGGGAATTTAATTTAATTCTAAATTCAAATTTTGGTTCCTAAGTGGTTTCCTAAAGTTTGTAATTGAACATCCATTAGAATGCTAATTGCCATTGCATCTCTATACAATCTAGAAATTCATCAAATGGATGTTAAAACCGCTTTCTTAAATGGTGAGTTAAATGAAGAAATTTACATGGAACAACCAGAAGGGTTTTCTGTTCCAGACCATGTCAAAAAACACAGCAGCAACCATAAACCAAATCGCAGCAAAGCTTCATAACCCAATATTCTTTAATTATCAATGCATTAGCACAAACAATATCCAATCAACAAGAACAAAAAAACAGCAGGTAACAGCAATCAAAAATTAAGCAGTAGAAACCATATCGAACACTTTTTTAATACAAGCCCCCCCAATATAAACACTAAACCTTCCAGAGGTCGATGATTTCATTAATATCACGTGTGTGCTAAAATGCACATATAAGTGTGCATATATGCATATGAAACAAGAAATAAGCAGCCCCAGTAATGTCCCAAAATAATCTTGAATTGAGCATTTATTTTTCTGGATATATTGAAAAAGCTAAGTATGAAGCCAAACACTAATCACCTCAGCAAGACCTTTGGGACCAAAAACCAACAAAGCCACCACTCCAATCACCAGAGCTTCAGGAGCCCCAACTCCAAATAAAGATGCATACACAACCTTGCCTTTATGCTGCCTCTTCCTTTCTGTGACACCACCATTAAAAAAAATCAGCAATGATACTAGCCCGAAAAATTATCTAAACAGCAAAAACAAAAAAGGGAAGAAAGTAATCTACAAAGCAAAAAAAAAGTTATCAGAAAATAAAATTTGTACATTAGATACTCATCACACTAAACCCTAAACCCACAAAACAACAAATTTGAATCACCCACTAGATTTTCAAATTTTTGTCAAATTTGCCTTCTCTCTTCTCTTTTTCCACAAATCACTCCCCAAATTCAAAACCCAAACGCAGCGCTAAGCAGTTTCCAAGTTTTAACTACAAAATACATATACAACAATGCCAACCCACAATTACATACTCTGTAACACCACAAACCCAGATGAGAAAGAACTGGAAAAAGTACCTTTTTTAACAGGCCATTGTGAGATTGAGATACCCAGACGCCTTAAACCATTCCATGGCGAAAAGGGGCTGAGACCCAGTTGAGGAACCCAACTAGGTAGACGAATATTTTGGGTTTTAGGTTATGCTTTGTAACAACCCACAGAACGGGTGGCTCTCCTTAAGACTACGCCAGTCGGCCACCGGCTGCGCCAAGTAACTTTACTTCCGCGTGATGCTATCTCCCAGGCTTATAACACGAATTCTCCAACCTTAAATTCAGTAACATAGTTCCTATGTAACTGCGACTCTCAAACAATTTGTTCGTCAAGTTCTCCTAAGTTTCGGCTTGGAGCCATTCTGTAGGGTCTGAATCTTTCAGGACGATGGTATGTGCTAAAGCTTCTCTTTATTTTTTTCCGTTAATACTTCACAATGAGAACAATTAGACGTATTCCACAATAAAAGTGTAAGACCAACCTACACATAAGAACCATACACTTAATATATCGAGCACAAAGTGTAGGATGCCAGCAGCAACTACAGGGATCTTGGATTTATAAATTTCATCCCCAAGGAACTCCTAAGAAATAGGTATAACACGTTCGGGAAATGGTCGCTCAACAACGGGTATAGTCGGCTTTAACTCAACATTTCCATTCAGCTCACTTTAGTATACAATATTTAAGACTGCATCCCATATATAAGTACGCAACACTAAAAAACCCTCACTTACATCCACTACTTTTTAATAGAGGATCAACCTTGTAGCACAGTCCTCACTTTGAGACCATCCATCAATGGAATGAGAATAAGTAGGTGGGGGTACTATTCCTTTACCCCTTGGAAAATGACCTCAACTGACTGGGGTCTTCAATGTACGTTGCTTAGGTAATAACCATAATGGATGCATGATACATTTTATGATTAACTTTTAACCTATGTTATTTAATACGATTCCGCTACAACTGATATATATGCACTACTTGTCAACTTGTTATTTTCTAAGTATACCATGTATCCCCCCATATGTTATCTCCATTCTCTATGAGATCAATCAAAAACGAGTGAGTCATGTTTAATGGTCAGGGAGGCACGCCCTTTACTCCATATACCGTACTAAATCTAACAATTCTACACTCTCCACAATCCACTGTCACCCCTTAGTCCAAGGCAATAATTAGCTAAATCTTAACCACTTTTATCTCCTTCCTTAACCCGCCCTCACCTACCATCAATGACAATATGCGAAATTTTACGTAACAAATCATATTTCTCGCAAGACTGGAGCTAGAACCACAACAGATAAACATAAATCAAGGGGTCCTTAATTCCCTATCCAAGCTTCTCGGCGAATATAGTGAACAACTGAATGCCGTAGAACCTTGGCACCCGCAATCACAACTATCACAATTAAACACCGGATATGCATCCACTTGAGAAAAAAACTTGTAAAAATGGGCTCAGAAGCCTTGACACCATCCCAAAATCACACCTTAGCAATTTCACCCTATTCCTAAACCGAGGGTCGAAATTGGTCACTTCCGGAAGTGGTCCATCCAATGCCAGCTGTTTAGATATGCCGGTTAGACCGAGTCATAGCTCTGTCGAAAGCCCATACGCTTTGCTTTGTTACACCGACCCCACCCATTGCCTTGTCTGTCGCCATCACCTTTTCAGGACGAATACCTACTCCAACAACAGTGCTTGTCAGCCAGCCCTGGGGCGTCGCCTCTCCCGCATCGCACGCCCTAAAATGCGATAAACTCTGCCGCCGGCTCAGCAGAGGATCAACCCTGCCCTAACCCCAGAACGGGTATAAACTAAAACACATTGGCATATACCTGTCTTGTAGAAGAGAACGTAAGAAGAGATTAGAAGTGAAAGAGATCTTTTCAAAGCTTTGATTTCTAAAGATCCATCGCCTGTACTCCAACAACGCCCCCAACCGGCTAGAGCTCCGCATTCAACCCCCTGCAATGTTATATGTAGATCGATCACTAACCGTAATGTCTAATTATGTTATCATCGCAATTGCATATGAAAATGAAATCTGTAACTTGCCATCCAAACCCACTCGTTGAAAGCCTGTGCGACAGCCGATTTAGAAAAAAAATTGACATTCAGTTTCTTCAAGAAAGAGCTACGCGATTTGATCCTGGATGACCGAAGAAGCCGTTAAAGGCCTAGACCCACTCTTTTTTCTGGCATTTCTCATGATCCAGTAGGGTAGCGGCTCGAACCTTCCGGGGCCAGTCTGTTTCAAACTCATAGCATAGCGCAAGCAAGCGGATAGCAACATAAGGCAGACATGCCAAAGGCAGCTCCCGTCCTCCTCCATCATCGGTCCCTTGCTTTCGGGCAGTCTTCCGCGCATGGCCTATCTCGCGCAACACTCGTAGCAAGCCTGTTGGCCCACGACAAACCACGAAATGTATGCTTCCCACAACTCGCGCACATCGCTTAACGTACCTTTCCCTGATTTGAGTTTGCTGGAACTGTCTGTGCTTATCTCTTACTTGGCATGAAACGAACTCGGCGATTGTCATAACTCTGTCTTCTTCCTCTGACCCTCACACCTGAACTCGGTACCGGTTATCCAAGTTACCTTCAGCCAGGATGGCCTTGTCCAGTACCGGCGTAAACGTTCGGATATTGAGCATATTGAACCCGATCTTGTATCGGTCCACGCAACCCACTTTCGAACTTCCTCGCCTTTCGGTACTCGTTGTCAACCATAGAGGCGCATATCTCGCTAGTTCAGTTTAAAGGCTTCGATCGTCAATTCCGCGACCCGTCTTGTTCCCTTGGATCAAATTCTGATAACCCTCCGTGGTCTTTCGGTCCCGGACGCTGAGGGGGAAATGCTTGTTGTAGAATAACTCCAAAAAATTTTGCCCACGCAAACCCGGATTGCTTCTCGAACCCATCATCCACACACGTAACGAAGCATCGTCGTCTAATGTGATGCCTGCTAGGGAACCTTCTGGGCGTCCTGTACTGGGAAAAACTTCAACAACTTCTCCATTTCCTAAAACCATGCCTCGGCTTCAATCGTTCTATACCTCCCTGAAATCTCGGCGTTTTCCATCTTCTTGAAACTCTCTGATTAGAGTATCCGTGTGTCCCATACAAGCTTGCTGTGGAGGCACTTGTGGCACTGGAGGGGTGGAGCTGCATAATCGGCCATTCGTCTGTTGGCATGCAATGGAAGGTGGTACGCAGTACCTGCGGCCCTAAGGTTGCCTCGCTCCCTGAACCAAGCCTTCGACTAACCTTTTCCAAATCTCTCCAACCTGTCTCCTGATCGATCTCGGCCGAACCGGGGGGTCACCTCCCTCATGATGCAGGGGAATTGCAAGATGAGACTTTAAAACATACTAAAACAGATTAACACATATGCAGTATCCACGAGCCGTTCTAGGCTAAAACGAAGCACACATAGTAACCGTAAGCAAAGCAATAATGATGCAATCTTTTAACATTCTTCTCTAAGGGTAATCCTAGGCTCTTTAGGACCCAAGGTGGTGTGAATAACGTACTATAAGGATCTTGTGTCTGATACCATTCTGTCACGCCCCAAACCGCCCCTATTAGTTTGGTGCCGTGATGGCCAGTAATCCATGATTACCGAAGGCCGAACTTCCCAAAATTGTCAAACACAATCAGAGTATAAATATGGGGCTTACAAGTGCGGAACAATATGTATACATATAAAAATCTAATAAGTCCATGAAGCCGTGCATAATCCAATGGAATGTCATACATCAAAACATCTTTAACCAAGCGTACAATTTAGATACAAGCAAGAATGAATACAAAACACGTCCTGAACCAAAAGGCTTCTCAAGCCCGACATATGCCAAAACAAAACAAGGAAAAACATAAGCCGAGAAGCATAAATCTTCAAAGACGTGCAAACCAATCCAAAAACATGTCGGCAAAGCACCCAAAACACATCCGCAATCCCACGTCTAGGCCTCAATGCCTTCTTGTTCATCACCACATATATATAGAGAGGGTGAGCTTGGATACTCAGTGAATGAATAAAAGTAAATAAAGGTTTGCATGAAATTGATATCCAAGATTTCTTTCAAACAATACATAACATACTCTACAATCAAGAGGGAATCAATTCATTGCCGGCCTTTCAAAAGTTCTGTAGATGTTATTACATCTACTTAATACAAGAAGGGATGACATGCCCAAAGACAAGAGGCAGTTGTATTATATAGTCCCCCTGCAACTAAGGACTTTCAAGACAAGCCTGTGCTGGCGAAAAGTTTCTAGTCTCAGCATAAGGACTGTCAAACCAAGCTGTGCTTGCGAAGGTTTAGAGTCTCTAGCCTAAGGAACTGTCAAACAACGCTGTGCTCTGCGAAAGTTTATAGTCCTCTAGCACTAAGGACTGTCAAGACAAAGAGTGCAGTTGCATTATAGTTCCCCTGCAACTAAGGACTTTCAAGACGAGTCATCAAAACAAGAATAGCATTTGATATTAACTAAAATAGGGATAGTCATTCATGCTAGATTCAAGTACTTTTCAAACAAAGGCAAACAAGATTTATCAAAACAAGTGTACATAGCTTTATTAGAAATACCAAACTCCCACTTATTTTCTTCAAAAACGTCGGGGTCAAGCAGGTCCCAAGTCCTACAATCAATTGCAAAAAGCGTACTTGAACAGATTTTCCTCAACAACAAGTCTAACATGCATCAAATGATTTTTGGAAAACCACCTGGGCACCAACCAGGTCTAAAGGCCGTAGGTGTGTTCCGGAGGGCCACATACAAGGAAAAGAGGTCGGGAAACTCTGGGTTCCCTCTGCTGAGAAACATGAAGACATGGGGTGGTGAAACCCAATGAAAAATACGAATGTTTGATCATAATTTGTCATCACAAATCTGAGGTTTCGTTGGCTATGAGTTTGAAAACATGGACCTGGGTACCCATACTTGGAATCAATGCAAGACAAACAACCAAAACGTGAATCTAGGGCATAAACTTTCGGATCAAATCAGATCTTTTTTTTTTTTCCCTTTTTTTTTTTTTTTTTTTTTTTTTTTTTTTTTTTTTTTTTCTTGAAGAATCACATGAAGTCATTTTCCCTCTTTCTAAAATCGAGCTTCAAAAGATGCATGGCTTAACAGATCATTTCATCATGCAATGCGATACATAAACATAAGAACATTACGAGTAGATCAAGAATCTAACCTGTAGAAGCGGATCTAACTGGTTGGACTTCCTAGAAATAAGCTTGAAGATCTACTTCCTCTCTCTAAACCTCCTCTTCCTCCTAGAGCTTCTTCTTCCTACAAAGACAAGGTTATGACACCAAATGATAGTTTATAACCCGGTTCTGGGGTTAATCCTCTGCTGAGACAAGACACGTGGCGGCGACTGTTGGGTTTTCTACCTGAAAGTGACTGGCAGAACCAGACAAGGCAATGGTGGAAGGTTGTTCAACAAGCAAAGGCGTCATGGGCTTCTGACAGGCTATGACATCGGCTAACAACAAAGGCATATCTAACTAGTCTGCATGGATGACACTTCGGCAAGGGGTGACAATGAACTC